GATATCTGCTGGGGACGATAACAACATTCTGCATTTATATGGCATCTTTAACATACTAAAATGCCCCCAAGGCAATTGAAAGGAACATTATGAAACAAAATCTGATCCAGAGTCAAAGAAAAGGTCAGTTGGTTAAAAAAAACTTTTTTTGGGAGCATTCTAAAGGAAGAAAGAGAGGAAGAGAAGCAGAGTGATGCAGGGAGGGAGTTCTGGAACTTTGGGCGAATTGAAGCAACTGAAAGTATGGCCACAAATGCTGAGTGAATGGAGAATGGCAAATTAGTCAGAATTAGAGAGGTAAACAAATCTAGGGATTTGTAGGGCTAAAGGAGATCAGAGAGACAGGCGAGGGGTGAAGCCAGGAAGCGGTTTTGAAAACAGGGATGAGAATTATACAAACAAACAAACAAAAATCAAAAAGGAGGTATTGCTTGACCAGAAACCAAATGAAGGCTGAAGAGTGTGTACAGGAGGTGGGTTAACTGGCCTTGGTGCTAACTAAAACAAGGGTAGCAAAACTTTGAATAACCTTACGTTTACAGAGGGTAGAGGCCAGGGACCGGGAGTGGGTTACTATAATCAAATCCAGATACCAAAGATAAAAGAATGGTGGTTTCAGCAGCAGAGGAGCTGAGGCAAGGGGAGGGTCAGGCGGTGTGATGTGGCGGGGGCTGGGGGGTGGGGAGGGGGGGGGGCGTGTGGTGTGTGGTGGTGGAGAGACAGACACTGATGATGCAGTCAGAAAAACTTGTCTCAGGGTCAAACACCATGCTCATAACCAGTTTGGTGGAACCTCAGCAGGCGGAATGGAATCATTCAACAGGGAACATAATTTGTTCGGGGAACTGAAACAAATGGTTTCCTGTCTAATGTTTAGCTGAAGGAACTTTCTGCTCATTTAATATTGGATATTTTAGCATCGAGATACAGTCCTCTAGATTTGCGTTGATGAATAGTTATGACACAGATATTAGTTTGATTGCTTAAAGTTAAATGTCCACAGCGCACTTAATTACATTTCAGGTGTTACATTTCTATAAAAGCAAAAAATGTTTCAGATTTTCTGCATCTGCAGTAAATACAGAGTGCTGGGGAAACTCAGCAGGGCAGCATCATTCCGGAAGTTAGAGACAACGGTTGAATTCTGAAGAAGTCATATCAGATTCAAAACATGAACTCTGTTTTTCCCTCTGCGGATACTGCCAGACCTGTTAAATTTCTCCTGCATTCTCTGGGTCTGTTTGATTTCATTTCTGTGTGGCTCCATTGTGAAATCTACAACAGATTCTAGAAGGTTGTGGAAAAGTACGCAGAGCGCAAGAGAATGTGCACCAAGGCGTAGACAGAAAGAGGTGTGTGTTTATAAACAATGAGTGAGAGATAGCCTATTCTTATTTATATATGGTCAGGATTTGGTTTCACCTTGTGTGGTTCAGGCTTTTGCCTTTTTCATTATTGTTAAAAGGCCTGTGGATTCATACAGGGGTGACAAATAATGAGATGGTTAGGGTTGTTCATCCCCAGGCTGCTTTGTGCACAAGGTATAATTTCGGTGACTGCACTGTTCGTTTCTGTTGCGAGTGCAGGATGTGGGTTTTGAATCTGCAGACTAATTTTGTCACCTTGTTTAAGGAGTTGCACAAAGCAGTAGTAATTACGGCATCATACATAGATGGTCAACATGTTGGTACTTAGTGATTGTAGGAAGTCCCTCATTTCCGGATACTTTGTTCCCATTAATACTTGCCAAGCCGAAATGAATCAGCAAGGACAACGTGAGAATCGTGGAATCCCTACAGTGTGGAAGCAGGCTATTCGGCCCATCAAGTCTGCACCAACCCTCCAAAGAGCATCCCATGCTATCCCTGTGACCCTGCAATTAATGTGGCTAATCCACCTAGCCTGCACATTCTTGGATACTAAAGGCAACTTAGCATAGCCAATCCACCTAACCTGCACATCTTTGGACTGTGGGAGGAAACCAGAGCATCTGGAGGGAACCCACGCAGACAGAGGGAAAATATGTAAACTCCACACAGACAGTCACCCGAGGCTGGAATTGAACCGGGATCCCTGGCACTGTGAGGCAGTAGTGCAAACCGTTGAACCAACATGCCGCCCATAACTGGAGACCTATAAAGACTTTGAGTCATAGAGTCATAAAGCAAAGAAACAGACCCTTCAGTCCAACTCGTCCACACTGACCAAGTTTACCCAAATTTGGCTCGAGTTTTCCTTAACATTATTTAGAGACAGTTGGATTGATGAAAGTTACTTTTATTCTTGAAAGAGCTTGGCACTTGTGCTAGTCAGGAGTTGATTCTTCTCTGAAAATCAGAGTAGAGGATAGAAAAACAGGACAGTTACATTTATTTCTCTGCAGTTCTAATGTTGAGAGTCGTAAGGCTGGATTATGCAGATCTGAAACGAGACCAAATACAGGCAAGATGGTCAAAGTAGTGGCTGCTGAGGGGCACAGGCAGAAGTCCTACTGGTATTAGAGCTAGCTGTCAATTTGCAGTGCACGGAAAAGGGCATGAGGCAGGAGGTCCGCTTGGTCCTAGGTCAGACCTTGTAGGACTCTTACTGGCACAAGTGGGCATCAGAAGTCCTTCATGACTGTAGGTGGGAAGGGCCACGCCAGTAGGACCAAAGACAACAAAACCTTTTTAAAGTCAAGTTAAAGGAGTTTATGGGGCTTGAGGGTGCTACTGGAAGCAGGTTAATGTTAAGGAACAAAAACAGAGAATGCTAGAGAAACTTCAGGTCTGAAGAAGTCATACCAATCTCAAAACGTTAACTCTCTCTCTTTCTTTCTCCAAAGATGCTGCCAGACCTAGCAAGTTTCTCCAGAAATCTATGTTTATTTCAAACTTGCAGCACGCACACTATTTTGCTTTTAGCAATGTTAATTAATATTGTGGAGGTGAGGTGAGGGTTGGGTGGTGAATCCATAATGGGTAAATTTTGGGCAGGTACTGCCCCGTCAGCAGTCCCAAAAAGCTCACACTCATGGTTGAGAACCTGGCAATGGAGGCTCAGACCTGTTGGGTTGAAATCCATAGATTCATAGAATCATAAGTACAGAAGAGGCTTTTCTGCCCATCAAGTCTGTACTGCCAGCCATGTACTGCTACCCAATTACGAGGGATCATCAGAATTCTTAAAAAAACAAAACAGCAGCTGGTGCTCTCGCTCTGTCTCGGCTTCTGCCATGCAACATGGCAGACATCACTCTTTCACAAATGGCGATCCCATTTCCCAGTAGCCTGGCAACAGAGATGGGATTGCAATGGCCAGTCTAATCCTGCCTTAGAAATCCAAGGGCCAAAGCAAAAATCCAGGCCATTGTGCTTGCCTGGACCTGGGTTGAATTTACAATCACCTTTGGTTGGGCAGATGTGAATTCTCTTGTGTCTTTAACAATAAGCCCACCCAATTCCAATTCCACAAAAGGAAAAACAGAAAACCATGGATGCTGGAAATCTGAAATTAACAAGTCAACGTTTCAATCGCTTCCAGCAGAATTTGGAAAAGTTAGAAATGGAACAGGTTTTAAAGGAGGTCAGCGTGGAAAAAGAACAACAGAGAAGGTCTGTGGATGGAGCAGAAGACAGGAGGCTTTCAAGGTCAAAAGAAATACGGAGACAAAAACAAAGGACATAGCAATGGAACAAGAGAAGAAAGAGAGGTGCTGTGAATGGCAGTATAATGAACATCCAAAACTAACAATGAGAAGAACAAGATTAAGACCAAACAATGAAACAAAAATGAAAGCAGAGATTGAAATTATCGCGTTCAGAAGGCTATTTAGGGTAATAATTAGATGACATGGTGTTGTTCCTTGAACTTGCATTGAGCTTCAGTGGAACACTGAACCGAGAACAGAAAGGTCAGCATGAGAACAAGGTTATGTAACTAAATTAGAGTGGGCTAGAAACAAGTATATGTTTAAGTGAAGGAAGGAAGTGAAGGAAGGCGAGCATGCACATGGACAGAAGAGTGTGTGCACGAGGGAATGTGAAGCAATGAGAATTGGAGTAAGCGAGAGCATGGCAGCAGAAGCAAGTCAGGGACAGGAAAGCAAGACAGATAGAAAAAGAAAGAATGTAGGAAAGACAACAACCAAGGCTGAAACAATAGGAGCATGGGAAGACAACAGGGAATGCAAGGGGAGGTGAGGAAAGGGAGCATTAAGAGAGCGGGAGAGGGAGCATGAGAGAGGAGGAGGAGGAGGACAGAGTGCATGAGAGAGAGGGAGAGTGAAAAGGCAGGCTTCTTAGAGAAATCATAAGATACAGAGAGCATGTGAGCCAGAAAGAAACTGTGATTGTAAGAAATAAAAAAAAGGACCAAAAGAAACTCAAGCCCCAAATAAAGCTGTATCTACATTGTTGACCGTTACCACCAAGCTATTGTGACCTTGATGCTATGAATTGATTTTCGGCCGATGCTTCAAGATTCTGTTGTTACAGGCAAAACAGGATGCTCCCATCCACATAAAGAAAAATACTTACTGAACAGAACAGAGGTAGAACAATATCTAGCCTCAAATTCACCTCCTCCAAAGGGGATAAGAAATCTCTCTCACGGAGGGAAAGTGCTTCATAAATACTCCAAAACATCAAGAAATAAATAACACTCCAGTCTACTGACTCCTCCCTTCACTCCCCACAAACACTTCCCCAGAATCCTTACCAGAAGCAAAAGAAAGTATTCTTCTCCTCTTTCATTCAGGACACCTTAGCCATACTGCATGTGAGCAGACTTTGGCCACAAGGACACTCAGTAATTAGGTCAGCAGTCTCAAATTTGAGCTGTTCCACACAACAGATAATAATGAACCATTATTCAAATCTACCTTCTAAACCCACACATCCTGCAGTAGAAGTAGGTCAATATTATCCTAAACCGTGATGCACAGAGCACTCCAATCGAAACCCAGAGAGGGCCATGAAACTCTGACAAAGGAACCATTTCATTGCCAGTGAAAAGGATACTTGTGGTCAAAGCTATACCACAGCCTGAACAGCCAGGCGCTCTCCTGCTTTGTTCTGCTGGTCCTTTCAGGGTGCGCGCCATCCTAGGGGGACAGAACAGAAACACATTTTCACTGAAGTTAAACACGCATGTAAAAAGCAATACAGTTAAACCCACCACACTTGTACAGTTATGTACAAGATAGAAAAACATCTTGATGAACTCTATAGAGCTGCAATTTAATAATAACTTGGATGGCGAACCAAACGTATTGTGGAGGTAATTGAGAGCATGTAAAACGGATGACAGCATGGTTCCAGTGGTTGGGCTAAGCAGTAGCAGGGAGTGGGAGGGTGGGGGCAAAGGAATGCAGAACAGCACCAAGATTAAGTACTGGACAGTCTTGGAGAAAAGGTACTGGGGACAGCAAGGGGTAAGGGTGATAAGATGCTAAGACTTAGAAGCAGAAGTAGGCCATTCAGCCCATCGAATTCACTTTGCATTCCAAAGAGATCAAGGCTGATCTGAAAATCCTCAACTCCACTTTTCTGCCTTTTCTTCATAACTCTTGATTCTCTTACTGATGATTAAAATCGGTCTTTCTCAGCCTTCAATATACTTAATTACACACCCTTGACAGCCATCTGTGGTAAAGAATTCCACAGATTCACCTCCCTCAGAGAAGAAATTGTTCCTGATTGGTGTCTTAATTGGGTAACCTCTTATTCTGAGGTTGTGTCCTCTGGTCCTAGATTCTCCCGCAAGGAGTAACAACCTTTCCATTCTACCTTGTCAAATCCCCCAAGAATCTTGTATGTTTCAATGAGGTCTCCTCTCATTCTTCCAAAACTCCATTGGAGTACCAGTCCAATCTATGCAATGTCTCCTCATAAGAAAATGCCTCCATACCTGCAAATCAACCAAGTGAACCTTCTCTGGACTGCCTCCTATGCCAGAATGTATTTCCTTAAATAAGGGGACACAAACTGTTCACAGAATCATGGAATCCCTACAGTGTGGGAGCAAGCCATTCAGCTCATCGAGTCCAACCAACCCTTCGAACAGCATCCCACTCAGACACGGTGCCCATACTATTCCTGTAACCCTGTATTTCCCACAGCTAACCCACCTAACCTGCACACACCCTGGACACTATGGGCAATTTGGCATGGACAGTCCACCTAACCTGCACTTCTTTGGACTGTGGGAGGAAACCCACACAGACACAGGGAGAGTGTGCAATCTCCATACAGACAGTTGCCCAAGTGTGGAATCGAATCAGTGTCCCTGGTGCTGTGAGGCGGCAGTACTAACCATTGAGGCAGTGTGCCAGCCATTCATAATACTCCAGGTGTGGTCTGACGAGTGCCTTGTACAGTCTTAGCAAAACCTCCCTATCTTGGTATTTCATTTTCTTTGAAATAATTGTCATCAGTCCATTTGGCTTCTTTGCTACCCGCTGAACCTAGATGTTAACAACATGTGAAGCTGTGACGGGGTTGCTAGCATATGGCCCTGTAGAGTCTTTGATGAATCAGACGTTGAACTGTAGGGAACTGGAATAACCAAGGCCGGAGGGGTCAAGGACATGGGTGAGAGTTTCAGAAGATGACGGCTGGAAACAGGTGATGTTACGGAGGTTGCCGTTGGGGTGGGGAGGACATGAATTCAAAAATTCGACTCCACTGCCAAACACGCTGAGAACATGAGCAACCAGAGGAGGTGGTAACCAGAGGGTGAAACTGAATCAGCGTCAAGGATAGGGAAATTGTGGTGGGGGAGAAAAACAATGGTCCTGGCTTTTCAGAAAATCAGCTGAGGGAGAAAATTGCAGTTGACACAAGATTGGACATTGCACAAGACATCGCACAAGCAACAGGAGGATTCAGGAGAGGTGCTGAGCTGGGCGTTGTCAGTGTAAATATGAAGCTGACTCCCTCCATTTTCCCCACTCCCCCACCCAAACCGAACACATTGTACGCAGTGATTAAGAGACAGCAGATCCTAGAATTGTTTTGGAAGTGTTTACAGCAGCTCTCTGAGCATTTTAATCTTCTGCCAATATCCTGCCATTTTCCCCCGTAACACTGTGTTTTCCCTATTTAAATAATTGTCCGATACCCTCTTGAATACCTCAACTTAAACTGCTTCCATCACATTTCCTTTAGGTCATTAAGAGTTGGCAGAACAGGTAGAGAGAGCTGTTAATAAAGCAGTCAGTGTTCCAAGCCTAAGTTCTAAGAAGGGTCATGCGACCTGAACCATTAACTCTAATTTCTCTCCATAGATGCTGCTAGATCTGCTGAGCTTCTCCAGCAATTTCTATTTTTGTTTCTGATTTACAGCATCTGAAGTTCTTTTGGTTTTGATTTAGTATTCCAAGCTTCATTAAAAAGGGTCAGAAAGTACAAAAGTAAGGGAGGTGATACTGAATGGGATGCTGGTTAGACCTCAGCTGCAGCCTTGTGCACAGTTCTGGGTGCTACACTGTAGGAAGGATGTAAGTGCATTGGAGGGATTGCAGAAGATGTTTACAAGAATGGTCTCAGGGAACAGGCACTCCAGTTTTGGAGACTGATTGTTGAAATTGGGACTGTTCTCCTTGCAGGCTAAGATGCGGATGACTAGTTGTGGTGAGGTCTCAACTTAGTAGGTAGGGAGAAATTGTCCACACTTGTAAGAGGATTAAGAGACAGAGAGCAAAGTTTGAAGTCCTTTGCAAAGATGAATTTAAATTTAATGATTGAAATCTGGAATTGAAAGTCAGTTTTAGTTAACGGGAAGCTACTGTCGGTTGTTGTAAAAACCCATTTGGTTTAAACATGCTCTTTAGGGAAGGAAATCTTCGTCTTATGACTCCAAAACCACAACAATGTGATTAAATGTCCTCTGAAATGGCCAAGCAAGCCAAGGACAATTAGGAATTGGAAAGAAATACTGATCATGCCTGGTGCACCCACATCCCATGAAAGAATAAAACAAAACATTTTTGAAATTCTTGAGTACAAACGCTGTGAATCTTCAGTTGATGAGTCTATTCAAGATTGAGATTTGTAAAGTGTGAAGGGAATCTGGAATTGTGGGGATATTACTATACTACTGATACTGCCAATTTTTAAATTTGTCTTTCTCTCATATCCGAAAGCATTCTTACAGACAACTTGAATGTTTTCCTGTTTTTTTTTATTTAACCTATTTTTCTAATCAACCTGTTCAGCGATGTTATTACATACCTCTGGAGAAGGTGGGACTTCAACCTGGGTCTCCTGGTCCACAGGTAGGTGCACTACCACTGTGTTGCAAGTTTAAGAATCCCAAATTCCCTTAGTGGTTTACAAATCTCAATCTTGAGCTGAGCATTTTTCTTTCATCACTACATCACCCATGGTAATTTTTCCCATCTACTAAGCCCCACTAGCAAATCACCTGTGTTTTTCTATTAACTTACATACAAAGCCTGTTCAGGACTGAATGGATCGCTGGGCAATTTCACAGGGCAAATCAGAGATTGTGGTGGGTCTGGAGTCAAAATATAGGCCAGACCAGGTAAAGATGGAAGATTTCTTTCCTTAAAAACAAAGTTAGTGAACCAGACAGACTCCTTTTTAAAAAAAATAAATGGTTTCATGGCTGCCATTTGGCTAGTTCTTAATTTAATTTTAATTCAAATTGAAATTTTACCTGCTACAGTGGAAGGATTTGAACATCTGTCCCCATTACTACGCTGCCACCACATCCCTCTCAGCCGTGATCTTAAAAAATAGTTTAGCAGGATCATAGGGTCAACTCCTGCATCACTTCTCTTCATCCTTAAGAATGAAGGTTATGTACCAAAGTTATATGTGGATGTCATTTAAGGCTGTGATTAGAGCCATTTTAGTGTTGTTGAGTGGGAACTACAGAACAAGGGATTAGGTCTGACTGTGAGATATTTATGAGATAGTATTCATCACCGCAAGTGACATAACATCACTTGCTCTTGCTCTCTCTTCTGTAGCCTATTGGCAATATGGAGCCACAAGATATTTCTCCATAAAGTTTGTGTTTTCCTTACCTCAGGAAGGTGTTAACATTCAGTATGGGCACAATGAGACTAAGAGTATCTCCTGCAGGTTTCAAAATACGAAGTCACTGAAAAACTGAGCCTGGATTTGGAAGGGGACAACTTATCCGTTGGAGAGGAAATAGAAGTTGAAGATGCTATGATAGCCTGCAAGAAGAGAGGTCAAGCTTATTTTTCTATTGTGGAGCTGACAATAGTGGCCAATCTAGGAGCAGGGGATAGTACCAGAAATTGTACTCAGGGTAGACTTCAATTGAGCGAGACAGTTAACCCTCTCCACGTGATGTAATTTCAAGTACCCAAACTTGCACTTAATATTTGATATTAAGGAGCAGATTCAAGTGGCATTTTGTCCCCTTCCAAATTCTGGGTCCATCTTTCCTAAAATTGCAATTTTAAACTTGGCTATCAGTTTTCCATCCTAACCAAGCACTAAATTGGCTACAATTAAATTCTCAAAAGACATCATAGAATCAGAATCCCTACAGTATGGAAACAGGCCATTTGGCCCAAAAAGTCCACACCGCCCCTCCGAAGAGCATCCCACCCAGACCCATTCCCCTACCCCTGTATTTTCCATGTCTAACCCACCTAACCTAAATATCCCTGAACACTATGGGCAATTTAGCATAGCCAACCCACCTATGCTGCACATCTTTGGACTGTGGGAGGAAACCCATGAAGACATGGAGAGAATGTGCAAACTCCACACAGACAGTCGCCCAAAGCTGGAACCGACTCGGGTCTCTGGTGCTGTGAGGCAGCAGTGCTAACCACTGAGCTACCGTACCGCCCCATACATTCCTCTACCACATCCATCTCGGAAACATACTCTTGCATCACACACCATCCTGACTCGGAAACATATTGGCTTTTCTTTCATCGGTGGGTCAAAATCTTGGAGCTCCCACATTAATTGCATTATATCTCCACCACATGAACTTTGCAGTTCAAGAAGCTACCTCATCGCTACCAATTCAGGATGGAAATATGGCCTTACTAGCAACAATTACATACTGTACATGAAAGAAAAATGCACTGACTGCTTAATAACACAGAGTTAGCTTAAAGCTCTAACTTAGCAACACATCCAAAGTATAAAGTAATAAAAACATGTTTTGAATTGTTTATTAAATTAATCAACTGGCAAAGATTCCTCCTCCATTTCCTGACACAGCATGTCTTCAAGCTGTACTACAGAATTAAATGACTTCAATTGCTGTCTCCTTTTTAGTACCGTCTCAAGGGCATATTTACAATGCTTGCAGCATCAATGAGATTCAGAGCTAGAATTTTAAACTAGCTTCAACGTATGTTATTCAAGTTGATTTCTTTTGAAGATGTAGCTGAGGGCAGAAAACAAAATTCCCAATCCTGATGTTGGAATAAGTTATGTAAGTGTCACGAGCTGAATCAAAAACATATCAAAATTTGTTTTCCCATGTGATTGGTGGATTTTGAGAGAAAACCAGAGGTAGACTAAAGTGAAATTTTATTTGAGCTATTTGAATTGAACTAACTATGGTTTCTTTCATGGCAGAGAAGGAATGTGCTTGGAACAAGAGGATAAGAACAGCACATTGCTGGGGGGTGTGCCTGAAGCATTACTGGGCATAATCTTTTAATTTCAACTTGCTATCGAAAAAAACAAATAGCTTTTCTGTATTCAAATAGTCTGAGGGGGCAGCGAGATGGCAATTGGTTCAAAGGGCTTTGCCATCATTTGGCGATGATCATAAAAGTTCAGAAACAGGTATACTCTCACTTAGTCTGTGGAGAGCTACATATGCATCTATACGTGCATATCACTTATAAACATTCTTTCCTACCGATGTAAAAGTACATCTTCTATAAAAGTTAACATCGTGACTACCAGCCTTAAAAAAACCTTCTCATGTCTCATGTAAAAAACTGGACTCTAATTCCTCAGGGACCAAACTGCATCGTAGTCATCAATCCTTACAAGCAATTATTATGATTACGAACCCCCGCACCATTCATTCCCGAGATATGAATGTCTGTCTATGAGCAAAAATCTTTCCATCCCTTTCTTGAAAATTTTAGTTGATTGACCATTTTGAATCAAACCTTTTTACATTTGATCGAAGAACAGTTCTTCCTGATTTCCCTGGGAATAAGCTAGGATCTAATTCTGGGATTATGGTCTCCTTGTCCTGGACACCCCAGCAGAGGAAATAGTTTCTCTGCATCAACTTTATCAAATCCCCTAATAATTTTAATCCATGGAGTAGATCATCCTTCAATTGTTGAACTTTAATGTTCCAACTTTATAATTGTTCTTTGTAAAACAGTCGCATCCTTCAGGGAAAGAAACCAGCTATTCTTACTGGTCTGGCTAATACTGTTGTGAGTGACTCATTAGCTACCCCAGCAAGCAAGAGAAACTTGGATAGACAAAATAAATGAAACTGGTCAAGGATATTCATATTGTGAGAATGAATGGAGTGAATGAGAAAATAAGAAGCAACTATAGGTCCAAATGCTTTCCCCACTCACTGCTGATACAATATAATACAATACACACAGGAACAGGCCCACCAAGACTGCACCGAATCCTAATCCTTATTTACGCCTGCTACTTATTGCCCATGTGCAGTTTCTATCCCTCTGTTCACGTATTTGTCAAGATATGCTTTAAATGTTGCTAACGTGCCTGCTTCCACTGCCTACAAGCGCAGCCCGTTCCAGGCACCCACCACCTTCCGAGTGAAAAATCTTCCCTGCACTTCATCCATAAACTTGCCGCCTCTCACCCTGAACCTGTGTCCTCTTGTAGTTGACCTTTCTGTCCTGGGAAAAAAAACCCTCTGACTATCCACCCAATCTATGCCTCACATAATTTTGTGGATCTCTATCAGGTCGCCCCCCTCAGCCTCCATCTTTTCAGTGAAAACAATCCGAGTTTATCCAATCTCTCCTCACAACTAAAACCCTCCAGACCAGGCAACATCCTGGTAAAATTTCTCTGCACCCTCTCGAAAGCATCCACATCCTTCTGGCAGAATTGCATGCAATGTTCCAAATGAGGCCTAACTAAAGTTATGCTACAACTATACAAAACTTGCTAACGTCTATATTTGATGCCTCACCTGAGGAAGGCAAGTGTGCTGTATGCCTTCTTGACCACCTTATCCACCTGCATTGCCACTTTCGGGGTGAAATGATGTCACACAATGGGCCAATGATCTACTTGCCAGCACACTTTAGTGCACCATTTTGGAACATAGACGGCTGGGTTTCAGGAAAACAGGGCTAGAATTTGTGACGTTCTAAAGAACATTCATGAGCAAATGCTGCTCTAATGGAAACCTCGGACAGGAAATTGAGCTGAATCTTAAGGTTCAAATCCAAACCAAGCTGAATCATCATAGTGGCAAGGCTGCTCTTATTTCCTTTGTTTCAGATTTCTTAGAGAAGTATTCAAATAAAATGAAAATGCCCACACACTGTACTCTGTCACATACAGCTGTGACTTGCAACACCAGATGAAAACTGCTATGAAAGCAGTTTACAAAATAAAAATCTATTGTTCTACCATCTAGTTCCTTCTAAATCATGGCCAAAATAAAGTAAATGTTGCCCTTCAGAGCATTCTCTTACTACAGTGCTGCTGATTGCTGAGTGTTAAAATTAAACGAAGCTCCAGTAAAAACAAAAGGGGTCACTGTAAAATATGACTATCTAAATTTTCAAACCTCAGCAGATATTCTTTTATTTTTGCTTGCATCACAGTAGAAGTGGGCTCCATCATGGGTCAAAATAAATTTTCTGCAAATACAGCATTAAGCTGACAAGACAGACTTAACATCTATAGCAAGCTATTTTTAATTGTTTCAACATTACTTACACCTTGCATCACTTGGAAACTGTCAGCATTGGGAGCTGGATCCTGATCTGGATCAACTCCGACTCTGAAAGAGAAAGAGGGTAGTTAAATAAGTAAGGAGGTAAATAGTAAATTGAATTAAAGACTAGGTTAGCAATATCTCCGTCTCGATCATTTTACAAGCATTGAAAAGATCCAGTCTCTAATAACAGAAAGGCTGCCATTGCTGACTTTCATAAGGCAGACCCCAAATTTCTTTTTTGGAAGATGAGTGAGAGTGTGATTGGTAAAAGGGGAGGGAAACTGTGTCATCAATCACATTTGGTAACATATTAAAAACTGAGATTTCAGTTTTTAGTAAGTATTCAAGATGAAAAGATCATTTGGGAATCATTTTGTACTGGATTTGAATTAAGCATGTATTGCTAAATGGATTTCTGCAGCTTGCAGTATATGGCAAGACCTTTGAAGCATCTGGTTCCCAATTATAGGCACTCACACTGACACTACTATGTCACTGAAGATTAAGGAGAAATAATTTATCCTCTCTGTAATTAGACCAAAGGCTGCATGTAGTGGCTGGTACTTAAGTGTGTACATGCACATGTCACACTGTGTGGTCTGAGCTGCAAGTTCACTGCTAAGTATAACAACAAACCTAATGAAGTAGAGACTGTGGCAAGGTAGATTATCAGGCTCAGACAGACACAAAGCAATATGCAAGTAAAGTTGAGTGACAAAAGCACATGCAGCTTTCTTCCTAATAGCTCCAAATTTCCTGTTGCATGGAATCAGGCAGCCCCTTTTAATCTCTTGTGGCTCTTCAAGCAAAACTGGTTCATTAGCACACCCTACAATTTTCCTGTACCAGTGTAATTTGGAATAGCTTGCAGAAAGGAAGGAGAAAGTGTCATCAAGGCCAAGTCTGTGTTTCAATCACAAATAAATCTCACAACAGCGCAAGGCGGCTGTGGGAGGAAACAAGAGCATCTTGAAGAACCACACAGACATGGGGAGAATGAGGAAATTCCACATAGCCACCATGCCACCCCTTATCACTGCCATTAGCTTTCATTGCCCAAACTGCTTGTAGTTACTGAAGGTGAAGGACTGTCGGTCCAGATGAATAGATCACTTTCCATTTCAGGCACTCATTTTTTAACCTCTCCCACCTTGATCCATGATATAGTTGGATGTAGAGCAGAGTGACCTCCTACTCTGTCCCAATATCACTCTGACCACAGCAGGTGATCTTTGTAACACTGCCAAATTAAGGATCGTTTACTGACTGCCAATAGGCTCAAGATCATTTCCATAGGATTCTTCCAGGCTGAGAAAAACGTTAACCCATCAATCAAGCATGGGTTTGAGATCAGGTTCCCAGAGGGGAAAGCCCTGTATCTACTATCCTGCAACACCATCTGCTGCTGCCATTCCTCCTCATTCTTCAGAGAAGCATTTATATCACAGAGCTTATGATGCCAATTGTAGCTCAGTGCAGTGCTCTAGCCACTGACTCACAACATTCTGGGTGCAAGTCACACTCCAGGACTGGAGCACAAAATTCCAGGCAGACACTCCAATGCTGCAAGGTGAAGTATTGCACTGTAGGAAGTGCTGTCTATTGGCTGACACAGCAAACCTTCTGTAAAAGGATCCCACCACACTATTTTGAAGAAGAACAGAGTTATCTCTGTTGCCCTGCACAATATCTGTTTTTCTATCAACATCAGAAAGACAGATTACTTGACTATTGCATCTTATGCTGCATATATTACATTTCTGAAATTTGAATGGTTTTTGAAATAAAGGCAAGTGGTGATGGGTTAGTGCTGCAAAAAGTTTGTTTTTTTTTTAAAAATAGTCAGGAGGTTATTCTGGAACAGTGATGTAAACATATCCATTTCAACAAGATACATGACTATACAAGTGCCCGGCAGACTCCTGTGATGTTAATGAAATGAAATATTTATATTTTGAGTTTATGACAAGTAGTGTAAACACATTTAGCCTAAAACTAGTTGTTTTTGACTTCAGTTCAGAAGAAAATGGAGTTTGGTTCAAAAGGGAAAAAAAGTTCTCATAGGAGATTTTTCAGTTCAGTGGAAAGGATCATTGCAACAACAGTGTTTTACTGGTTTATGAAGCTTCCAAACCAGGAGAGTTCGGGATAGAAGCTGGGTCAAGTCTCTGTAATGGTAGAGTTGGGAAACAGTTTAAAGCTTTGTTTTGATGTTTGCTTCAAGAACTTTATACTACAGCTTACGTACAAGGATGGTTCGTTTTCTTTTTGTAAGAAAACTTAAATTTCTTCCACAAAGAACATCTTCAGCTATATGATGTGTTTCAATATGTTTTAATGATTAATGCTACGGTTATCAATTAAACAAATTAAAAGTATGATCAAACAAGCCAGATTCAGATTCATTCTGGGATCGATCTTGTCTGGTATTAACATGAGCTGGAATCAGAACAAACAAATATAAAAATAAAGTCTGTTTAGATTGAAACAGTAACTGTAATGTTGCCTCATGGGTCTTGACTGTTTAGAATCCACCATATTCCAACAGTCACCACAACTGGTAAAAGAGACTGAAGATGAACATGCAGTTGCTTGATTGGCTCAACCTTCTGTCTTTTAGAGGCTGGACGTTCACTACCTAATGGTTTGGAAAGATTTGCATAGGCCAGAACATCCACCTCTAGGATGGAGGTGCCAACATCACAGGGATTGCGGTAATCCTGGAGCCATCACTCCCTTGCGACCGCTCTTCTCCACAGAGAATAGACACAGCATCCACATCACAGAGAAGGACAAGGGAAACTGGTGCATGAGAACACCATCACCTCCAAATCACTGGCCACCCAACTCGGAGACGTATCACAGTTCCTTCATGGTCAGTCAATCCATAGTAATTGCAGAGCCCTCATCATATGGGAATACAATGGTTCAAAGCAGTGGTACAAAACCACCACCTCGAGGGATATAGCAATTACCAGACTTGCTGCTGACACCTCAGAGAATGAACTTTGAAAAGAATAACAATTCAGAATGCTAGCCTGCAAACCTCCATTTTCAATGATTAAATATTTCTTTTTCTCAGACACTGCTACACCCCAAATGTCAACAGTCTGACTGGCAAGTGTCAACCTGTCTAAAACAGCATTTATTTTTCCTTCATGAAAAAGGTTTCTATTTAACTAACCGTTCAATAGCCTCTTGTTGCCTCAGTTGAATCTGTCTCCACAACACTTTCAGGCAGTGCATTCCAGAACTGAATCTAGCTGTGATTTTTCTCCTATCACATTCCCTTCTTTTGAAAAACACATTATAGCAGTATCTTTTGGATCTTGTTCCTTTCATGAGCAGGGATAGTTTCTCTGTTTCTCCATCCAGCCCCTCATGATTTTGGAAATCTCTATCAAATCTCCTTCTTCTCTCCAAAGAGAGGAGTCTCAATTTCTTCAAACTATCCTCACAGCTGAAGTTCCTCATCCCTGGAACCACTCCTGTAAATCACTTCTGCACTCCCTCCAATGCATTCAGGTCGCTCCTGAAGTGTGGTACAAATATAATACTCCTGTTCAAGTGTTCAACATCACCTCCTTTGTCTTGTACTCTATGCTGCTATTAATAAAGCCAAGGACACTTGTTGCTTTATTTACCACGATCTCCACCCATGCTGCCACTTTCATTGTATACACCTAGGTCCCTGTGCTGCTCTCCCCTCACTCGACATGTGACTGTTGAATTTGAACTGATTGAATTGAATGTTGTTTGCTCCTCTCCTATCACCAGTTTCCCAAATGTTGTGTCTCTCAGCCAACAAGTGCAGAATGATACCAGAGTGCTCGCATGTGTCTCTACCTGCAGAAGAGAACAAGAGAAGTTGGGAGTTCATGGGGGTTGGGCAGAAATACGGGAGAAAACAGAACAGCGGAAGGAAAAGTGTGCAAGTTTAATAGTTCACAACAAACCAATAGTTATTGCCTACTTCATCTGACAGAAAGGTCTCTCCTCACAGGCTTTTGGCCTAGCTTGTTGGATCAGAGAATCCCTACAGTGTGGAAGCAAGCCACTTGGCCCATTGAGTCCATACTGACCTTCCAAAGAGCATCCCACCCAGACCGACCCTCTACCCCATCCCTGCTTTTCAAACCCTAGACACTATGGGCAATTTAGCATGGCTGATCCACCTGACTTGCACATCTTTGGACTGTGGGAGGGAACTGGAGCACCTGGAGGAAACCCACGCAAACTTCACACAGACTGAGCCTGAGCCTGGAATCGAACCCAGGTCCCTGGCACTGTAAGGCAGCAGTGCTAACCACTGAGCCACTGTGCTACTCCACCATGCCACTCTTTTCACATGAACACTTCATGCCAGTTCCTTGGCTTCTTCAATAATGCAGAAAAACACTGATGAAATGATAGCACTTTGCAGGCAGCTACACTCTATATTTCACATTGATCTTCCCTTTTACTGCATTTATCTTTCCTGTACTTTTCCCCTGTGTTTGTGGGTGTTGCTATGGAAACACAGTCACCAGTTAAATTTGGGGAGTGGGGTGGGAGGAGGTGAAAGAGACGAAAATCTCAAAGCACCTAGGGTTTGCTTTGATTTGTAACATGGATCCCTGCTCCCCTAGGGAGCAGCCTCACTCTTACAGGAAAAAAACAGCCCAATGTCAGAAATCGAAGCTACACGCAAGAAAAGCGAAGACAAAAAGAAAGAGTATGTAGACACACTGCACAATTATTGCCAGGCAGTTGGGGAAGAATCTTTGCAATAGATCAGAGGAGAACGACACAGAGCCTGCTCCACACAGGCCTAAAAAAGTAGAGATTTGATTATGTTACATGCCTTCTTTTTAAGAAGCAAACCATAGGCATTTAGGAAAAGCCAGAAATGCAAGAAGCAGGCTGAATCAGATTACAGGACGTTCAAGGATTAGCTGGCACTGGAGAGAAAAAAAAAAGTGGTGTTAATTTCACAGCACACCGTAGCCAGCTCTGTGCGTCACCTGAAGTAGCTCCAGTGATCATCAGCCAGATCCTCTGCTGAAGGAACCCGGTCACCAACTCTGGGGGCAGCATAGCACAAGAACACAATGTCAGAATTACCTCGGCACAAACTTGATAAGCACCTACCTCGTAGAACCTAGCAACCTGCTTAGAAACAGGCGCAAGTGTCCAATAAACAAATCAACTCTGAAGAACAAACTTGACCCTCCATAATGCCTTTCCAGCAATGCTTACATCCCATGGAAGGCTTTTTTTAAAGAAACATTGATGCGAAGAAACAAAAGGTTGCGTACAGGGTGGTGAAACTGTCTTTGGCTCTAGATCACTAGGATGATCCCTGGTTTTGGTTTCTTCACCCATAGCACGAGGGCATCTCTGGCTTGGCCATCATTTATTGCCCATCCCTGGTGGGGGCAGAGTCCTTGTGTACATTTAAGGCTAGGATAGATAGATTCTTGATGAGTTGGGGAATCATGGCTTATGGTGAAAACACAGGAAAGAGGATATGAAAAATGTCAGATCAATCAGGATCCTATTTAATGGGGGAGCAGGCTTCAGGGGCTGAACAGTTCCTAGTTCTTATGGTCTTCTGATCTAGGTATTTCGGCACAAAGGAAGCCATTTGGCTCATTGTGACTGCATCAGCTCATTAACTCGGGCTGATCTCATGCTTCTTCATATACCCCCTGAATGTGTCAAATGTGTGTGGTAATTTCTGCTGTTTCTACTTTTCCTTTGCCCCTTCGTTTTTAAAAAGGATCTCATCTCTTCCCCAAGCATCTGTCAATGCCACACCAGTGGTGGCTTCCAGGAAGTACATGGTTGAAGCCACATTATACAATCTTGGAATCACACAACATTGAAAAGGGCCATTTGAGCTGAATCTGCCTCTCCAAAACAGGTACTTAAATTTATCATTCTCTTTAACTCCAGGACCTACAAATTTTGTTTTCTTTTTAATTATTTTGTAATTTTTAAATTGGGGGTGTTTAGCTCAGTTGGTTTAGCTGACTAGCGTGTGGTTCAGAATGATGCCAAGAGGATGAGTTCAATCCTCATTCCAGCTGAAGTCGATGTGGGATCTGCTTCTGAACCTTGACAGTGGAAGGCACTGGCAAACACCGAGCGTGGGGGAGAAAACCTACTATGAAAACATCTCGTGTGAAATATCAGCAGACAATGAACAAAAGCCCTTTAAAGAAACATGAAGACGCAAGATGTGCAGGTTAGGGGAATTGGCCATAATAAAATTGCCCCATAGCGTCCAGAGATGTGCAGGCTTGGTGGATTAGCCATGATAAATGTGGGGGGCCCTCAATGGGCTGAACAGTCTCTTTCTATGTAGGGCTTCTATGAAGACTATTTTTGATTGCTCAAGTTGAGAAATGTTAGAATAGGACAATAGAATATCTGGGGCACCCAACATTATCATCAAACTCTCCCACGCCAGGCCAGTTAGAACAGAGTGCGTTACAGAGCTAGCCTGTACCTGCTAATCTGTGGGACTTTAGATGACAATTTTTCTGCCGTGGCTCTGCATTGTCTAGAAATTGGATTGAGATTGCCAAATCTCTTTTTAAATGCAAGACTTCAAGTAGCCTCCAGCATAGAGAAACTTTCAGGTGGTCAGGCCAGATAATTTTAGTCCCAGAAGCTGGACTACCATCTTCCAAAGTTCCTCAGCCATCGCACATGCGGCATGACACGCTGGATTCCTTCAAATGATCAATCACCATCCTCAGTTCCAAAAGGAATTGCCTACACTCCAAATGCTGGTTTTAGACAGCAGTTAATAAAACAGTCACAGTTAATCATTCAATGTGACTCCTATCAGACTGACTGCCTTTAAGCACAATAAATAGAAAAGTTTGTTTCCATTCCCTCAATGTACCAAGGTCAGTGAAGCCTCTTCAAACGATGCCAGTTGCTTTGCTGCAGTGTTCTGAGAGGTTCCAGCACTACGGACCTCCCCTCGCAAACATGCTAAAGCTGAAAAGATTGAACAGGAGTACTTCTGAGCTTGCAGCTGTTAAACCTGAGACTCTGGAATTTTTGCAGTAAAATGCCAAGCCCTGCTCTACGAAGTGAGATCTTAGTGAACTCATGTGGCTCAGTCGCAAATCTTGTTCAATAAACCTCCTGTGAAGCACTTACGGGACACAGGAAATTAGACTGTTCATGTGAAGTCCTTTAGAAGTGGTCCTGACATAAAATATGTTGTTAATCCCATCTTCAACAGTGGACTGTCTACTCCATGAATGGGATAGTCCTGTTTCACAGACAATGTATCAACTTATTTCTGATCGCAGGGTAAAGTTACACCTAATTTGTAGATGTTGTCAAAACTACGCTGGATTGTAAGGCAGATTTGGTGTGTGAAGTAGCAGCTGAAAATTGCCCCTGGTCTCCTTCACCCCTCGCGGCTCAGTAACTGAACTCCCTTCATATTGAGAAGCCAAATGCAGACCAAAAGGCTCCACAGTAAAATAAGGAGCGCACTTAAACAACCAAAAGTGAAAGTTAAATGAAGTGGGAAGGAGACAAATTGGGTGCAGTTTTCAGTTCGAAAGACCTATTAAGGGAAGTGAAAAGGTTAAAATCAGGACCACACAGGTTACACTTCAATAAACCAGTTTACAGATCAACTAAAGAACCATTTAAAATTTGCCACTAGGACAAATACTGGAATTAAGAATCAATTGACAGCTGAATCTTTAATCAATGTCCATAAAACAAGGAATTCACCCACAACAAGAGAAGAAGATTATCGCAAGAGTACACCGGTACTTTGATCAGATGGGCCGATGGGGAGTTTAATTTAGATAACTAGGTGTTGTTGTATTTTGGTAGGCAAACCAGGACAGCAATTATACAGTTAACGATAGGGCCTTGGAAAGTGTTGCCGAACAAAGAGACCAAGGGGTGCGGGTGCATAGTTCCTTGAAAGTAGAGTGACAGGTAGACAGAGTGGTGAAGGTGGCATTTGAAATGCTTGCCTTCATTGGTGATAACATGGAGTATAGGAGTTGGGATGTCATGTTGCGGTTGCACAGGACATTAGTGGGACCATTTTTGGAATACTGCGATCAATTCTGGTCACCCTTCCATAGGGAGGATGTTTAAACTTGAGAGGGTGCAGAAAAGATTTACAAGGATGTTGCTGAGATTGGAGGTTTTGAGCTTTAGGGACAGGCTGAATAGATTGAATTTCCCCCCCGCCCGGAGCATTGGAGGCCGAGGGGTGACCTTATAGACGTCTGTAAGGTCACGAAGTGCATGGATAGGGCAAATAGTCAAGGACTTTTTCCCAGGCTTGGGGAGTCCAAAACTGGAAGGGCATAGATTTAAGGTGAGAGGGGAAAGATTAAAAAAGGACCTATAGGGCAACATCTTTGCGGAGAGGGTAGTGCGTGTATAAAACAAGCTACCAGAGGAAGTAGTGGAGATGGGTAAAATTACAACATTTAAAAGGCATCAGGATGGGTATGTGAAAAGGAAGGGTTTAGAGGGATATGTGCCAAATGCTGGCAAATGGGACTAGGTCAGATTGGGTTGTCTGGTCAGCACAGATGAGTTGGACTGAGGGGTCTGTTTCAGTGCTGTGTGACTCTTATCGCTTTATGATTCATAGAATACAGTTATTCTAAACATCTCATCCAGACCTGAGGATTTGTATCTCAGGCTGTAGTGGAAGGAAATTACAGGGGCTCTGACCCAAAATTTAAATTCCTCTCTGCTCATAGGGGACGGTGCCAGAGGAGCAGAGGGTGATGGTTGAAGGTTGTTTCTCAGATTGGAGGCCTATGACTAGTGATGTGCCACAGCAGTCGATGCTGGGACCTTTGTTATTTATGTAAGTCATCTGAATGTGAATGTACAAGACATGATTAGTAAATTTGCGAATGATACAAAATTAGGAGGTATCACTGATAGCAAAGAAGGTTATCAAAGATTAGAGGGATCTTGATCAGATAGGGAAGTGGGCTGAGGATTGGCAAATGCAATTTCAATACAGATAAGTGTGAGGTGTTGCACTTTGGAAAGTCAAACCAGGATAGGACTAATACAGTAGATGGTCAGGTCCTGGGGAGTGCTGTGGACCTAGGAGTACAAGTACACAGTTCGTTGAAAGCGGCGTCACAGGTAGACAGGGTGGTGAAGAAGTCACTTAGCATGCTGGCCTTCATCGGTCGAGGCACTGAGTATAGGAGTTGGGACATTATGTTACAGTTATGTAAGTCATTGGTGAGGCCACACTTGGAGTATTGTGTACAGTTTTGGCTACCCTGTTATAGCCAAGACATAGTTAAACTGGAAAATGTCAAAGATTTACGAGGATGTTGCCAGGACTAGTAGGTCTGAGTTATAGGGAGAGGTTGGCCAGGGTAGGACTTTATTCCTTGGAACATAGGAGAATGATGACCTTAAATGAGGTGTATAAAAATCATGAGGGGCATAGACAGGATGAATGCATATAGTCTTCCCAGGGATGGGAAATTGAAAACTAGAGGGTATAGGTTTAAGGTGAGAGGGGAAAGATTTAAGAAGGACCTCAGGGGCAACTTCTTCACACAGAGAGTGATGCATATATGGAATAGGCTGCCGGAGAAAGTGGTTGAGGCATGTACAATAGCAACATTTAAAAAAACATTTGGACAGGTACATGGATGAGAAGGTTTTTTTTTCCTATTCATGTGTGGGATGTGGGCGTCGCTGGCTGGGCCAGCATTTATTACCCGTCCCTAGTTGCCCTTGAGAAAGTGGTGGTGAGCTGCCTTCTTGAACCGCTGCAGTCCACCAGCTGTAGGTTGGCCCACAATGCCATTAGGGAGGGAATTCCAGGATTTTGACCCAGCAACGGCAATATATTTCCAAGTCAGGATGGTGAGTGGCTTGGAGGGGAACTTGCAGGTGGTGGTGTTCCTATATGTCTGTTGCCCTGGTCCTTCTAGATGGAAGTGGTCATGGGTTTGGAAGGTGCTGTCTGAGGATCTTTGGTGAATTTCTGCAGTGCATCTTGTAGCTAGTACACATTGCTGCTACTGAGCGTGGGTGATGGAGGGAGTGGATGCAATGCCAATCAAACGGGCTGCTTTGTCCTGAATGGTGTCAAGCTTGGAGTGTTGTTGGTGATGCACTCATCCAGGCAAGTGGGGAGTATTCCATCACACTCCTGACTTGTGGCTTGTAGATGGTGGACAGGCTTTGGGGAGTCAGGTGGTGAGTTACTAGTGTTCCTAGCTTCTGACCTGCTCTTGTAGCCACTGTGTTTATGTGGTGAGTCATGTTGAGTTTCAAGTCAATGATAACCCCCAGGATGTTGATAGTCTGGTATTCAGTGATGGTAACACTGTTGAATGCCAAGGGGTGGTGGTTAGATTGCCTCTTATTGGTGATGGTCATAGCCTGGCATTTGTGTGGCACGAACGTCACTTGCCACTTGTCAGCCCAAGCCTGGATATTGTCCAGGCCTTGTTGCATTTGAACATGGACTGCTTCAGTATCTGAAGAGTCATGAATGCTGCTGAACATTGTGCAATCAATCATCGGCAAACATTCCCACTTCTGACCTTATGATGGAGGGAAGGTCATCAATGAAGCAGTTGAAGATGGTTGGGCCGAGGACACTACCCTGAGGAACTCCTGCAGAGATGTCCTGAAGCTGAGATGATTGACAGTCGTCAAACACGACCATCTTCCTCTGTGTCAGGTATGACTCTAACAACCGTAGAGTTTGCCCCCGATACCCATTGATTCCAGTTTTGCCAGGGCTCCTTGATGCCATACTTGGTTGAATGCAGCCTTGATGTCAAGGGCTGTCACTCTCACCTCACCTCTGGAATTCAGCTCCTTTGTCCATGTTTGAACCAAGGCTGTAATGAGGTCAGGAGCTGAGTGGCCCTGGCGGAACCCAAACTGCATGTCACTGAGCAGGTTATTGCTGAGCAGGTGTTGCTTGATAGCGCTGTTGATGACACCTTCCATCACTTTACTGATGATCGAGAGTAAACTGTTGGGGCAGTAATTAGCCGAGTTGGATTTGTCCTGCTTTTTATGTACAGGACATACCTGGGCAATTTTCCACATTGCCGGGTAGATACCAGTGTTGTAACTGTACTGGAACAGCTTGGCTAGGGGAGCGGCAAGTTCTGGAGCACTAGTCCTTGAGTACTATTACCAGAATGTTGTCAGGGCCCTTTTTAGAGGAATATGGACCAAATGCAGGCAATTGAAACTAGCCGAGTGGGCACCATGGTCAGCATAAATCAGTTTGGGCCAAAGGGCCTGTTTCCATGCTGTATGACTCTATGGCTGGAGGGCAGCTAATGTGGTCCCACTTTACAAGGGTGGTAGCGATAAACCAGGGAATTACAGACCAGTGATTAGTAGTTGGGAAACCACCGGAGAAAATTCTGTGGGAGTAACTTAATTGCCACTAAGAGAGGCAAGGTTTGATTAATGATAGTCCACATGGTTTTATCAGAGGAAGGTCATGCGAAGCAAACTTGACTGAATTTTTTTTGAGGTGGTGATCAGGTGTGAGAGAGGACGTTAGTGCAGTTGATCTAGTTTATGCGGATTTCAGCAAAATCTTTTCTAAGGTCCTACCTGAGAGATTGACTAAAAACGGTAAAAATCACAGGATCCAGGGCAAGTTGGATCCAAAATTGTCCTTAATGGTAGGAGACAGCGTGGTGGTGGTAGGAGGATTTGTGTCACTATAGGTCGGTGTCCAATGATGTACTGCAGGGATCAGTGATAGGTCCTTTTTTGTTGTGACATGATGATGTATATAAATAATTTAGATGAAAATGTTGAGGTGTTGGTTGCGGCAGGGGGTGGGTGGGTTAGTGTAGGACCATAAGTAAGTTTGCGAATGACACAAAGATTGGTCAAGTAGTTGACAGTGAGGAGGAAGGTCTGGGAGTTACAGGAGGATTTAGACACATTGGTCACATGGACAGATCTGTGGCAGATGGAGTTTAAACCCGAAAAAAGTGTCAGATGATGCTTTTTGGAAGTAGTAACAGGCCAAAGGAGTATTCAATTAATGGCAGGACGCTAGGAAGCTCAGAGGAACAGAGGGATCTTACAGTGCCTGTCCATAGATCCCTAAAGGTAGCAGGACAGGTTAGAGTAGTAAAGGCAACATATGGGACATTTGCCTTTTATCATTTGAAGCATAGATTATAAGAATAGGGAAGTTATGTTGGAGCTGTACAGAACTTTTGTTAGGCCATAGCTGGAATGCTGTGTACCATACGGTAGGAAGGATGTGATTGTACTGGAGACGGTGCAGAGGAGATTCACCAGGATGTTGCCTGGGATGGAGCATTTTAGATATGAAGAAAGGCTGAATAACTTTGTGTTGTTTTCTTGAGAGCTGCAAAGGCTGAGGGGGTACCTGATTGAGGTGTATATGATTACAAAGGGCATGGATAAGGTGAGTAGAAAGCAGCTGTTCCCCTTAGTTTAAGGGTCAATAACAAGGGAGCATGATTTTAAAGGTGAAAGGCAGGAGGCTAAAGGGGATTTCCGGGAAATGTTCTTTGCCCAGAGAGGGATTGGGTCTGGAATGTGCTGCCTGGGAGGGTACTGGAGACACAAAATCTTTACAGCCTGTCAAATGTACTTGGATGAGCACTTAAAATCATAACATTCAAAGAGGAAAACAGAAATTGCTGGAAAAGCTCAGCTGGTCTGGCAGCATCTGTGGAGAAAAATCAGAGTTACTGTTTCAGGTCCAATGACTCATCATCAGAACCGTCACTGGACCCAAACATTAACTCTGCTTTCTCTCCAACAGACATCCCTGACCTACTGAGCCTTTCCAGCAACTTCTGTTGTTTCTGATTTACAGCATCCGCAGTTCTTTCGGTTTTTAATAACGTTCAAGGCAATGGGCCAAGTGCAGCAAAGTGGGACAAGCGTAGATATAGAGTAATTTTGGTCAGTGCAGTCTCAATGCGACTCTCCTGTACTGTCTGACTCTTGGATTCTATGAATGTTTGAACATGTTATGACACATATGGGGCAGAACCCAGTTCTCCAGGTTCAAAAGATAGGGACACCACCACAACGCAATAACAGTTCTAGAACGTAAGCAGTCAAAAATTGCTAAATAGTAGTCTAAGCTGATTTTGCACTTCACTGGAACAGGACAATATGACAGAATGTACTGCAGTTTCTGCTGGAATAGTTTAGGCACTTATCACCATCTACTGTTGAGTTAAGGAACTGCACTGAAGCCTTTCCCGAGTGAGGTTACACCATTGCATCATACAGCAGCGGATATCTTTAACACATAATTCACTGAGACAGGATTCTTTTAAAAACAGGGCGTGTGCTAGTCCCCCAGAATAGGGTTGATGCTTTCTCATGGCAAGAATGCACGTGGAGTCTTATGATGTTGAGAGGCTGTTACACTGTAGACACCACATGGATCTGGCTGACCAGGAACCTCTCCCACACTTTCCGCCTGCCATGGATGCATTGGAAAGATTTACCGGTTGACAATCAACCTTTGAGGCCATTTGTGGCAAGACCTGAGCTGGAACTCGAACTCAGAACTTCTGGTCCCTGGGTGGGGATGCCACAAAACCTGCTTAACAAGATGGTGGGTAACGGGCAACTGAGTGGCACTAAATAACACTTCAAAAGAGCCAGCACTGGCATGATGGGCCAAATGACCTGCTCATGGATTTGAATAATCAAAATTCCCAGGCTTGGCAAGTTACCCCTAGGATCTGACGATGTGGTGTTTGCCTAGTATAGATGAAAATCTGGAAAGCAAACAACTTGAATGGCTGTGTTAGATCCAGGAAGGTGAACCCCTGTTTGGATGAACCGTCTGCATCTCAAAAGCACAGAGCAGCATACCAGATAACAAATCAGAGTGATAAACCATCCAAGGCAGCCATTGACAATGGTGTTCAATACTGACCTAATACGTAACCATGACAATGTTGGCGTGGTGCCTCCACCGAAGACCCAGACAGTGAAAAAGACGATAAGGAGCGTGGTGGTGAACATCATTTGCCTGGCGTAGGTGGCGGTGTCTCGGATGGCGAGGGCAAAGGCCATGGCTCCTCTCAGACCTGCGGGAAGAACAAGGATTGAGCATTGAGGTAGCCAAGTAGTCAGGCCCTTTGGTAATCATGTGATGAACACAGGACAAATTGAGAAGCTGCTGTGTGATCAGCTCTGGGCCCAATGGGTACCACTTTTGCCCTGTGAATCAAGAGGGCTGTGAAATTCAAGACCCATCACAGGGAGTTGACCAGATATGGCAGCATGGCAGTAACATCACTTGACCTGTAATCCACAAACCTGACAAATGCTTCCAGATTCACAAGTTCAAATCCCACCCTGGCACCAGGGGGACACTGAAATTCGACAAATGCATAAAATGCTATTCTCGAGAATGTCTGGTGTTCTTACCCGGTCTGGCCAACATGGGACTCTACCTGCAATCATCATCATATGTTGGAAGTTCCAGCCAATCTTGTGCTTTCTGGCCAAGTTCAGGAAAACAGATAGTGGGTAAATGTTGGCAGCTCTTCCCAGCAAAATAGCAATCTGATTAGCAACAGCAGTTAAGGAACTTGAATATCTAATGGTGGCAGAACTCACATCATAAGTGACATCGAACGAAAACCAAGAAGTTGTTTTTTAAACCAGCACAGAAATAGGCCATTCAGCCCGACAGGTCCATGGTGATGCAGATTTGTTCAAGAAGAGTCTGGATGGAATAGATAGTTTTGACCCTATCAGCGTACAACAACAAAAGACCAGAACAAAGAAAAGAATAGCCCTACAAGAACAACTGTCCAAAAATCACCCACAATGACGACAGTATACTCAGATTCATGGTTAAAAACATCTTGGACCCAACACGTACAGACACGGAGAAGACCGTCCTAGTTCACAGACTGAATTAGAACTGCAGAGAAGCCAAAAAGACCGACTTCCTGGCTGCGCTGGAATCGACACTAAAGAACAACAGACTCACGGAAGAGGTACAACAGCCCACCTGACAGGTGATGGTCCCAACACTGAGCAAAAAAGGTAAGTGGAACACATTCAACACAGAACAGAGGAAAGCCCTGGAAAGACTCAAGAAAGAGCACTGTAATCTTACCAGCAGACAAAAGACGCATGACAGGAATCCTCAATAGAGCCCAATACATCGAGAAAGCTAACACACTACTAGCAGATACCAACACCTACCAACAGATGGCGATAGACCTGACACCACAGTTAGGGAACCAGATTACAATGACCCTGAAAAAATTACACAACTCAGGAGACATCAGCAAGACAGACTACCAAAAAATGAAGTCAGAGAGATCCAACACATCCCGATTTTATGGACTCCCCAAGGTACACAAACAGGGGGACCCCTCAGACCCACTGTCTCACTGCCAGGTACACCAACATACAGACTTGCCAAAGAACTACAATTCAAACTGAAATACTTAGTTGACAACACTACCCACTCCATCCACTCCTCCCAAGAATTCCTCAACATCAAGGACACCAGGATAGAAGAGGACGAGATGATGATATCCTTTGACGTAACAGCACTATTTACATCCATAAACATCAACCTAGCCAAACAGACAGTTGCCACACTACTGGAGCAATCAAGTAGGCAGACAACCCAGGATATCAACAACATCAATAAGGACATCACCATGAAACTACTAGATCCATGCCTCACAACCCACTTCGCCTTCAATGACAGCATATACAAACAAATCAACGGAACACCAATGGGATCACCAATATCAGGGCTGATTGCAGAAGCGGTCATGCAAAGGTTAGATTGGACAGTGCTCCCCTCTATATAACCCAAACTTTGGGTCCAATATGTAGATGACACCTTCGTGATTATCAAACGCACAAAACTAGGAGAAACCCACTGACACAAACAACATCCTCACCAGGATAAAATTCACAAAAAGAAGAAAAGAACAACCAACTACCCTTCCTGGACATAACGGCAGAATGCAAAAACAACAGGGAACTCCAGACAAGCGTATACAGAAAGACGACACATACACTTGCACATTACACTTGCAACCACTCCAAAGCCCACAAAAGGAGCTGCATTAGGACACCATTTAAACAAGCTACAACTCATTGCAGCAACCCAGAACTATGCAAAGCAGAACAGGAACACTTAACGGAGTTTTCAAAAGGAATGAATACCCAAAAATCACAATCCGCTGTTAACTCCGAGACAGACCACAACAGGAAGTCACAACACGGCCAGACTCACTGAACACCCTACCATACATCAGGGACACAGAGATGAACACAAGACTACTCAGACCGCTAGGTATCAGGGTAGCCCACAAACCGATAGCCACCCTACGACAGCTACTGACGAACGTAGAGGATCTCATACCCAAAACCAGCAAAACCGGTGTAATATACAAAATACCATGCAAGGACTGGGAGAAACGCTACATAGGCCAAACTGGAAGAAAACTGACAATATGGATACACGAACACCAACTAGCCACCAACAGCCATGACCAATTCTCACTTGTCTCACTACACAAGGACAAAGAGGGACACAAATTCGACTGGGAACACATCCATAATCGCACAAGCCAAACAGAGACACACCAAGGAATTCCCGGAGGCCTGGTATTCTAACTGAAACTCCATCAACAAACACATTGAATTAGACCCTGTGTACAAACCACTGAGAAACAGAACTGGAAATGGTATCAAACATCCCAGCAAACCGAGGCATATAAATAACAAACGGGACAGAACACCAACACTTCACCGGAGGTAACATGGTCAGTGTGCCTAGCAGAGTGACGAAACGCCTGCAACCAAACCCACCGGCTCAGCGAGCAGGTCTACAACCTGAGCTACAAGTCTTGTCAAAAACTTTAAACTCTCTCATTGGTGGAAGTGTTGTGAACTAAAGGACATTGATTTATACTTATTGACAAAGTGACATGAGGCAGACTTTTTAAAAAAGAAAAATAGTGAGATTTTGCGATCTGGATTACATTGAATCTGCCTCTACGACGGTTAATCTCAGCTTTCCATAGGGAAATGGATAAGCACCTAAAAAGAAAAATAAAAATTGTAGGGTTACGGGCAAAAGGCAATGGACTGGGTCCATAGCCAAGATGCTCCAAGAGAGCTGGCATAATTGGATCAAATGGCTGCATTGTGCTATAATTCTCAAAGTCAAATGGTGCTCTTCATATTCCTTTCTCCCTCATGTACTTATCCAGTTTTCTGAAATATAACATGCTGTTTGGCTCAATTACACCTTGAGGTACTGAGTTCCACATTCTTGCTACTGTCTGGTAAAGAGGTTTCTCCTGAACTCCCTGAGGTTATTTGTTACAGATACTTATGGCCCTTAGTTTTAGGCTCCCCACAACCAAAGTAAACACCCTCGCCATGTCTACCCTCTTAAATCCTTCCAGAATTTTAATGGCTTCCATCCTTTGACCCCAAGCACTTTTCACCTCACCACCCCCCCCCCCCCCCCCCCCCCCACTGCCCTCCGTGAACATCTAAGACATTTACTTTATGTTGCAAGTTAAAAAAAAACAGGTGAGGGGGTAAGTGATAGAAAAGAAGGGAGAATATTTTCAGAATAGGCTTATTCATTATTTCTAGGCTTTTCCCTACACTGCCAACAAATGAGTAAAAAGCCTACCACAAAAACAGCACAACCTTATATCTACTGGAGCTTAGAACAATGAGATATGATCATTGAACTCCGTCCCCAAAAGCACCTACACCCCAATGTTTCAAGAAGATAGCTCACCAGCATTTTCTCAAAAGAATTTAGGGATGGGTAAGAAATGGTGACCTTCACAATGATGCCCATATTCCATGAACAAATTAATAAAAACAAATTCTTGCATAATTAGTATGGAGATAATCTCAAATGTATTACAATTATCCTCCATCACAACCGTCGCAGGAATTTTTAAAGGATACAAAGGCCCCCAGAATGAAGATGGGGTTAAAGATGTGATTCTGAAACGTAAATAGTGCCAAGCCCATGTAGGAAAATATGAAGTTTTCAGCCAAGAAATTCAGAACTTCGAACAACTGCAAAAGATGAAATTAATGTACATGATAACATATTTCAGCTTGTGAACTTAGCGCTGCATATGATGTACATCTTGTAACTGTGATGAACTCCATTTCATTTATCCAATTGTAATGTAGAAGCCAGCAATCTCTGAATATTCTAACATTCATGAAACTCTGTATTCCAACAGTTGCGAGATAGCTACATTCAAACATGATTAGGAATAAGAGTGGGACTGGACGACTCAAAACAACTCAAGGATCATTGAAGGACAATTCAAAAGGTTACAGGCAGGTGCAGTCAGAGACAGTAAAAGCATGGAAAACAGACAGAACCAGGCTCACGGTCATACACTGCTGCTGTTTAGCTGAACTGCTGAGAATCATATAATCGCTACAGTGCAGAAAGACGCCACTCGGCCCATTGAGTTCACACTGACCCTTGGAAGAGCATCCCACCCAGACCCACTCCCCTACCCTCTCCCTGTAACCCTGGATGACCCATGGTCAATCCACCTAGCTTGCACAACTCTGGACACTACAGATAATTTAGCATCTACCAATCTACCAAACCTGCATATCTTTGGACTGTTGGAACACTAGGAGGAAATCCACGCAGACACGGGAAGAATGTGCAAAGTCAACACAGACAGTCGCCCGAGGGTGGAATCAAACCTGGGTCCCTGGCACTGTGAGGCAGCAGTGTTAACCACTGAGCCACTGTGCAACCAAGGCTAAACAGAGTTAACATTGAGTTCAGTGATCTTTTGCCAGAATGTCAGGTGCTGCCAGACCTGCTGAGTTTGCCTAGCTCTTTATTTTGTTTCAGATTTCCAGCATTTCCTCTTCTTGTTTGAGGCAACTGAACTACTCTGGTTCTGTTCAATTTGCATTTGGGGAGACGTTCTTCTTCCAGTTAGGCAGCTGAAGAAAATTAGAGCTCAAGAGAGAAAAAAAAAACAAGGGCAGCATCAGCTTGGTGAAGTTAGCTATCCAAAAAGGTGGAGTTGTGCTGCAAGTAAGTGCTGGAATGCAGTTTCCAGAATCCAGGGGAGCACAGAGCCAGGAAAGGAAGTTGAACTGACAGAATGGGAGCCATTGCCAAGGCAGTCCATGATGGTGTCTTTTCAGAGAGTCCTGCAGTTAGGTTTGGCAGCATTGAAATTATTTTGAAGATTTAATGAGATTTGATGCCATGCCATTAATGTCCAGGGGATTGCTTAAAACTCCTTGTGGTCTGTCTTGATTTCATTTGCAACTTGATGCGGTCTATGGATGTTCAACCACTGTTTGTTTGTTACCCACATTTACCTTAGTTAATTCTGGATGTTGGAAGTAAGCTCAGACACACATTACAGGTTGCATTACTGATCTAATTTGTATAGTAATGTTTATTATTGTTTGTTCAAAACTGTGGAATCTTGTGGATTTATTCTTTGCGATCTCAAACTTTGTCTCCTTACAAAAAAAAAACTTTACTGGTCCCTAATCAGATTGTGACAATTTTCACAGATTACTGGCTTCGACAGTATAACTGGATCAGCAAGGAAATGGATTTCATCACACAATGCAAGGGGTACAGGCCAAAGGAGGAGAGGGAACAGAAGGCAATTGCCTGACCTGCAGGAAAGCAAGTCTCCCCACACCGACTGCAGTGTACCACTATCAGAGTTATGGGAATGGGTATTGTCATATGCCCTCTCGTGGTAGAGAATTAGCTGCATGCAGAGGGTTAGGAGGGACATGGACAACATGATGTATTTCAGCGGCAGATTAATTCAAAAATTTCATATGCATTGTTTTACCATCATCATTTCAATAATACTCCTTCTGCACATACACTGTGGGAATGGTAGCATCGTGGTAATATTACTGGACTATACAGTTGGGAGGATTGGACCTAATGCCATGAAGCACCAGTTGAGATTGTAGCTGGCAGAATTCATATTATGTCAATGGATAAACCTAGAACAAAATGCTGGTCTGACTGATAATTCTGGAGTTACGAGTTGGTCATAGAAATCTAGTTGGTTCTCTGATGTGAGTTTGGGGACAGGCCATCCTTGCAGCAGTGACTCACACATACACATGGCTTATTCGGGTCTCCAGTTCCACAACCATGTGGTTGACTCTTAGTTGCCCAATGAAACACTCAGTTGCATCAAACCACTGAAAAAGCAATGTAGGTTTGTCCCCTTTGGGACTGCCACAGCTCAAAGAGGTGGCACAGCACCTTTTTATCAAAAGGCAGTTAGGAAGGGGCAACAAATGCTGGCTCTTCTGCAATGCTCACATCCTGAGAACGGATGTGAAATGAGTGATGAAACTGCAAAAAACTCTACTCTTCTCCATTCCCTCTTGTCCTGCAAGCTTTGGTTCACTCCAGGGGGCAGTTCTGTGAGCTTCACGGACACAGTTTAAACAGATATATCAAGTGTGCAAGGACACATTGCTTGGAAAACGCAACCTTAAACATTTTCTATCAGCTGTCTCAGTAAACCGCTCTTAACTCCTTCTTCCTTCAAGACATTTAAAGCCGACCTCTGACCCAATTTTTGGACATCTGTCCTAATATTCTGAGGCTCAGTGTCAAAACTTGTTCGATAAACTTTTTTTTTTAAATTAAAACAAAAAAGGTGGCAGAGAAGTGCAAGCTGTTGTCACAGGACTGTAAAGATGGGTTAGAATTCTGCCCAAACTGCGTTGTCCATCATTTAAGGGCATTAAGGCTAATGGTTCTTCCTGCCGTCCTGCTGTGACCATCCAAAACAAACAGGAGAACAAAACAGGAATGTTTCTAACACTAACTCATGTGAGACACAGGCAGACAGAGACACAGGCAGACAGAGACACAGGCAGAC